TTATAATTACATGTTGGCACCTTTCGTAATTGATACCAAATGGAAATCTGTTTTTTTTTTTTTTTGTCTTGAAATGATTAATGACAGTTACAATTATTAAAGACGGTGATCTTATGGGAGCCTTCTCAGCTAGACCAAAAACTAGTCTATAGTCTTGGTAGCGAACGTTTTGATAATTTCCAATATAATTTTTAATAAAATATTTTCAACAATAACTCAGTGTCAAATTTTAGTTTAATATACTTAACAAATCATTGTCAAGTAATCATTAACTAATTAATATTTTTAATTTTTTTTTAACTGCAGTGTTCGATTGATATTTGTTATAAAAAATTAGATAAACGTGATAAACAATAAAAATAACAAATGATGAGTCATTTGCTAATAATATTTGAAAAAAAATACTAATTCAAATAACTTTAAAACATTTTTTAATTAATCATCATAAAATTATGTTTTGTTTTTTTTTATTCAAATTAAAAACCGTTAAAATTAATAATCAAAATTTATAAAACATTTTTTAATTTTGGCCAAATATTTTTAAAATAATAACAAGACCTTGATATTATTGCAAAAAAAACTATTTAGAGTAAAACATTTTTTTTTAACAAAAATTTACATAATTGTTGCTATTAAAATTGTTTTAAACAATTTTTTAATTTAATTAATAGGCCTACATTTACTTTGTTGTTTATCTATATTTTTACAACAAACATATTTGTTAATTAAAGCAAAAAATTTTACATTAAATTTAATATTTTTTTTTAAGATTGAGTGAAAATTAAACCAGTTTTCGTTGGCAGACCTCCCCTGAGTTTAATAAACGATATTTGTCTATAAATGTTTATTATTACAAATTTAGTTTTAAATTGAAACAAATAAATAAATGTTAAATTTTTTATAAAAACTATTCAAAACTTTGATTCATTAATAAAAACTTAAGTGCATCAAACACAGTAATGTTCAAAATAAAAAGCACAAACAGAAGATTCGAATATAGACTATAGACAAGACTATAGCTAGACTATAGACTAGACTATAGACTAGACTAGACTATATACTAGACTATAGACTAGACTATATACTAGACTATATACTAGACTATAGACTAGACTAGACTATAGACTAGACTATAGACTAGACTATAGACTAGACTACTATAGACTAGACTATAGACTAGACTATAGACTAGACTATAACTAGACTATAGACTAGACTATAGACTAGACTATAGACTAGACTATAGACTAGACTATAGACTAGACTATAGACTAGACTATAGACTAGACTATAGACTAGACCTATAGACTAGACTATAGACTAGACTATAGACTAGACTATAGACTAGACTATAGACTAGACTATAGACTAGACTATAGACTAGACTATAGACTAGACTATAGACTAGACTATAGACTAGACTATAGACTAGACTATAGACTAGACTATAGACTAGACTAGAGACTAGACTATAGACTAGACTATAGACTAGACTATAGACTAGACTATAGACTAGACTATAGACTAGACTATAGACTAGACTATAGACTAGACTATAGACTAGACTATAGACTAGACTAGACTAGACTATAGACTAGACTATAGACTAGACTAGACTAGACTATAGACTAGACTATAGACTAGACTAGACTAGACTAGATTAGACTATAGACTAGACTAGACTAGACTAGACTAGACTAGACTAGACTAGACTAGACTAGACTAGACTAGACTAGACTAGACTAACTAGACTAGACTAGACTAGACTAGACTAGACTAACTAGACTAGACTAGACTAGACTAGACTAGACTAGACTAGACTAGACTAGAGTAGACTAGACTAGAGTAGACTAGACTATAGACTAGACTATAGACTAGACTATAGACTAGACTATAGACTAGACTATGGACTAGACTATAGACTAGACTATAGACTAGACTATAGACTAGACTACAGACTATAGACTAGACTATAGACTAGACTATAGACTAAAGACTAGACTATAGACTAGACTAGACTATAGACTAGACTATAGACTAGACTATAGACTAGACTATAGACTAGACTATAGACTAGACTATAGACTAGACTAAACTTTAAACTATCGGCTAGACTTCAGACAAGACTTTGAACTATGATTTAGACTATACTGTAGAATAGGCTTTATACTAGACTCTTGTATTGACATTAGACTATACTTTAGACAAAACTTTACACTGGACTTAAGAATAGACTTTAGACAAAATTTTACACTAAACTTTAAACTAGACTTTAGACTAGACTTTAAACAAGACTTAAGACTAGATTTTTGACTAGACTTTAAACAAGACTTAAGACTAGACGTTAGACTAGGCTTTAGACTAGACTTGCAACTATACTTTACGCTAGACTTTAAACTAGACATAAGACTAGACTTTAGACTAGACATAAGACTTGACTTTAGACTAGATTTTAGAATAAACTTTAGACTGAACTTTAGGCTAGACTTTAGACCAGACTTTCGGTTAGACTTTACACTAGGCATTAGTTTAGACTTTAGCCTATACATTATATTAGACTTAGACTAGATTTTAAACTAGACTTAAGACTATACTTTAGACTAGACTTTAAACTAGATTTTAATTAGACTAGTCTATAGTTTGATGTAATCGATTAAACTATTTAACTTTGTTTTATATTTAATACAATTTTTTATTTATTTAAACTTTGTTTAAGCCTTAAACTTGACATTAACGCTCTACTTTTTAAAACGTATTTTTTATTAAGGAAAAAATATGCAAAAAAAAGGTTTATGTCACTCATAAATATTGTCATAATTTTATTTTTATAAAATATAACAAAATGATGTGTCGTTGGCGGTTGCAAAAAAAATGCAGTCAATGTTATATGATGCAGAATAACAAAAATACAGTTCATTAAACATTATATTACGTGTAAAAAATATTTAATTAAATAAATATGTTTAAAAGAATATTTTTCGATTTTTTTTTTTTTTTGGCAGCCACCCCTTGCAGTTTTTACGTGTTTTAAATTATAATTTAAAAAATTTTAAAAGTGCGTAAACTTTTTAAAAATTTCTATATAAAAACTTTGTAAATTTAGAATATTTAAAACAGTTTAAAATCAATTTTTATAAAGCTAGTTTATAGTCTAGGTGTTAAATTTGTAATAAAATAAACATGTTAATAAAAGTAAGTTTAATTGTTAAAAGGAATTTAATTTAATATTAATAACTTTTATTTATATATTTAGCTGTTTTTGGTAGCGATATTGTTTATAGTAAAGTCCTCAGCTGAGGCTCCCTATAACTACAATAATCAAGCAGCTCCTTATGCCCCATCAGGTTATCGCCCTAACATACCTTTCGACTTGCCGGGGGAATATTATCCTTCGTATGATGTCGACTCCGTGCAACAGTTACCTAATCAGGGCTTTACTTTTGAAATAACCAAACAGAGAGTAGACTTTGCTGGTCAAGAAGTATCAAGAGTCCCAATTACAGAACCTGAGAAACAATATTTGCCGGCCGAGGAGATAGTGTTTATTAATAATCAAGTGGGTGCTGGCAATAATATGAGACAACTCTTTAATCATAGACATAATCACAATCATGGCAGAAGACGAAATAACAGGCCAGGACAAAGACCTACAGAATGCCCACAATGCCCTCAGACTCCGGATAATAAACCACCTCAACCACAACCTAATTTTCCAACTTTACCTCCTGTAAATATACCTCTACCAAATCTACCCAATTCCACCACTGATGAAAGATTTGAAAGTCAACAGCGACCGGCTCTAGAATATGGTGCTCCACCCAATTATAACATAGATCCCAGAAACGCAGGACAACAACAACAACAGCAACCTGCTTTAGAATATGGAGCTCCCGCCTTAGAATATGGTGCTCCAGCTTACACTCAATCCCAGAAAGAAGAAGAATTGGAGAAACAATATGCTTTAGATGCTTTAAATGCTGCTGTACAGAATTACAATCGTTTACAGGAAAATAATAATGATCGTATAGCTCAGGGTCAATATTTTGTAGTTAATCCAGATCATTCTATACAAAAAGTGAAATTTACCACCAAGAAAAGTGAAGATGAAACGAAACAAAATGATTTTACAGCTGAATTGAAATATACCAAAGTGGGTGAGATCAATGATCCTTTATATAAGTATACTGCCGAGGGTCAGTTGGTGCGCATAGTTAAAAAGTAAAAAAGGACTCTTGGAAATTATTCCCTAGAACCAAAAAAGTTAAATTTTAACAATTATATGTATACATATGTATTTCGATCTGTTTACTTAAATACAATTTTGTGTCCATAGTATTTTAAATAAAAATAAAAATTTACTAAAAATTTTAATATTTAGCACAAAAACATTTGCAAAAAACTAGAATATAAACTTGACTATACACTAGACTATAGGTAAAACTATAGACTATATACTCGACTATAAACTAGTCTACAGACCAGACTATACAAAAGTCTATACTCTAGATCATAGCCTACAGACAATACTATAAACTGGAATATTTACAAGTCTATAAACTAGACTAGGATATTAACTAGACTATTGTCTAGACTACAGACAATAGAGTATATTGTAGACTAGACTATAGTCTAAGCCATGAGTCAATTATTTGCATATTTTTTTTCAATACAACTCTGTGTTCATACTTTGGAGCAAAAATCATTCAAAAACATTATATTTTGAATAAATTGTAAAATAAACATCCAATTCCATATCTAACCCTAAACAAAAATCAAAATAAACTCATTAACTACCTCAATTTTAATTTAAAATCCAATTTCAAAACAAACTACCAAATAAATTAACAGTTTTACATACAACTCTGTGTAAAAAAAACTACTAATCGTTCTTTTTCTTTATCACTCTCTTCCCACCTACTCACATCACTAACTAAAACGATTACTCTACTCCTCTCTACACACATCTCTAGTTTATTCATAGTAATTTTATTTTTCTGCTTTTTCGTGCGTGTAAAAAATGTTAACTTGTAAATTTTATAAGAAAAAACTCATAAAAACCCAATAAAATTAAAGAAAATTATATAAAAATGTTAAGAAAATTATAATTTATAAAGGTATTAATAAATTTATGAAAAAATTAAACAAAATTTATTGTGAAAAAAAAAATACACAAAAAAATGAAAGGAAGAAAAAAAAACAATGTTCTGGCATGTGTGTACTATAAATGTGTATTGGTATAAGTGTATCTGTGTGTTGTTGGTTTAATTGTGGTATTGTTGTTTTTGTTTTATTGAATAGCGGCAAACAACAAAGGAAAAATAACAACGTTTGTAAATAAACAAACAGAAGAAGAAGCAGCATAAGAAATAAAAAAAACTCATACTTCGCTAAGTATAAATAAGGCAAAAACAACTACAAGATACTTTTTTCCATTTGAAGAAACTTAAAAATAAAGCAAAAGAATTAAAAAAACAACAACAGATAATTTTTACTTTGATGTGCATTTTGTTTTTTTTTATGTTTGTTGTTGTTTTCTTTTGCTGCAAAAATAAACACCCACAGAAGGAATGTTGGGAAAAAAGTGGAAAATTATTTAATTTTTGTGGGTTTGGTTTGATTTTTGTGTGGAAATATTGCAATTAAATAAATGATATGGTCCAAAAGTTGTTAAAAGTAAAGATTATATAGTGGTTTATATATTATGGTGAAAAATTACGCAAGTTTTTATCAGGACCGTAGATTTAACTTTGCTAAGTGAAAATACTCCCGGCTGAAAATTCCCTTTTTAAAGACAAACTTTTTAAACCCATGTTTGAAATTGAGATAGGTAGGTATAGTGGTGGAGATTTGGTCATTATTTATACATCAAATTACAATCGAATGCTAACATAAAAACTCTTCCGAGAGCCAAATGGTCACTATTAAAGGGAACAAATTTGATGATATCTAAAAGAATTAGAAATATTTTCATTTCTAGAATTGGATTGGAAATCATGGCCGCCCTAATGAGACATATTGACATAATAACTAGCACAATTGAAAACAAGTAGGAAGTATAGTCGGGCATGGCCGACCATATGATACCCTACACCACTGAGTATGTTAAAAATTTGGATTATATTTAACAACAAAGCATTTAAGTTGTTTACCTTAATTACGAAATATTTTAACAATTTGTTGAAAAAGGGAGGTTTATATGGGGGCAAGGGTAAATATAGGCCTATCCTTATAAATTTTGGTACATGGCTTTATGTTTACATTAGAGTTATGTATGCTGGATTTCATCGTGATACAAGTGTTTATTAGGGAATTATTGACCTTCAAGTCATTTTCTGAAGGGGACTTTGTATGGGGGCTAGTGTCAAATAAAGTCCGATAATTATGAAAATCGGTTGTATTATTAAGACGTATATAGAACTAAGTTTTGAAGATTTTTGTAGAGAAACCTACAATATTTAACATAATTATGAACTCAAAAGCCCTTTCCGGGGGGTAGGGTTGTATGGGGGCCTATAATAGACCGATTTCAACCATTTTCAATAGGCTTCGTCGTTGGGCCGAAAAACACGTATGGTCCAAATTTCATCAAATTTCTTGAAAATTGCGACCTGTACCTTGCGTACAAGGTTTACATTGACCGCCCGCCGGACAAACGGACGGACATGGCTTAATCGTTGATTGATTCTGAGTCGATCGGTATACTTTAAGGTGCGTTACAAACATCAGCACAAACGTATAATACCCTACCCACTATGGTGGCGTAGGGTACAATTATCTTCCGCCGTCCAACATATTTTTTGAGAATTGATGATTTTCCACAAAGATTTCCAGGTATTTTCTCACATATGCCATTGATTTCTGACATTTAATCCTTCCGTCTATTAAGAGTAGATTTCCAAGGGATTGATATAAACTATTTCATCTGTCTAATATCACCAGAGGACAAAACATCCTACAGATTTTTAACATTTCTTTATTGACTATAATTTTGGATAGATAGATAGATAGATAGATAGATAGATAGATAGATAGATAGATAGATAGATAGATATAGATAGATAGATAGATAGATAGAGAGATAGATAGATAGATAGATAATAGATAGATCGATATAGATAGATATCGATCGCTCGCTCGCTCTCGCTCGATCGCTCGCTCGCTCGCTCGACGCTCGCTCTCGCTCGCTAGCTCGCTCGCTCGCTCGCTCGCTCTCGCTCGCCGCTCGCTCGCTAGCTCGCTCGCTCTCTCGCTCGCTCGCTCGCTCGCTCGCTCGCTCGCTCGCTCGCTCGCTCGCTCGCTCGCTCGCTCGCTCGCTCGCTCGCTCGCTCGCTCGCTCGCTCGCTCGCTCCTCGCTCTCGCTCGCTCGCTCGCTCGCTCGCTCGCTCGCTCGCTCTCTCGCTCGCTCGCTCGCTCGCTCGCTCGCCGCTCGCTCGCTCGCTCGCTCGCTCGCTCGCTCGCTCGCTCGCTCGCCTCGCTCGCTCGCTCGCGCGCTCGCTCGCTCGCTAGCTCGCTCGCTCGCTCTCTCCTCGCTCGCTCGCATCGCTCGCTCGCTCCTCGCTCGCTCCTCGCTCGCTCGCTCCTCGCTCGCTCCTCGCTCGCTCGCTCGCTCGCTCGCTCGCTCGCTCGCTCGCTGCTCGCTCGCTCGCTCGCTCTGCTCGCTCGCTTCGCTCGCTCGCTCGCTCGCTCGCTCGCTCGCTTTCGCTCGCTCGCTCGCTCGCTCGCTCGCTCGCTCGCCTGCGCTCGCTCGCTCGCTCCTCGCTCGCGCGCTCGCTCGCTCGCTCGCTCGCCTCGCTCGCTCGCTCGCTCGCTCGCTCGCTCGCTCGCTCGCTCGCTCGCTCCGCTCGCTCGCTCGCTCCTCGCTCGGCTCGCTCGCTCGCTCGCTCGCTCGCTCGCTCGCTCGTCGCTCGCTCGCTCGCTCGCTCGCTCCAGCTCGCTCGCTCCGCTCGCTCGCTCGCCTCGCTCGCTCGCTCGCTCCTCCTCGCTCGCTCGCTCGCTCGCTCGCTCTCGCTCGCTCGCTCGCTCGCTCGCTCGCTCGCTCGCTCGCTCGCTCGCTCGCTCGCTCGCTCGCTCGCTCGCTCTCTCGCTCGCTCGCTCGCTCGCTCTCCTCGCTCGCTCGCTCGCTCGTCGCTCGCTCGCTCGCTCGCTCGCTCGCTCGCTCGCTCGCTCGCTCGCTCGCTCGCTCGCTCGCTCGCTCGCTCGCTCGCTCGCTCGCTCGCTCGCTCGCTCGCTCGCTCTCTCCCTCTTTCGCTCGCCTCTCCTTTCCTTCCTCCCGGTGCCTCTGCGCTCTTTCGCCGTTTCGTCTCTGGCTGCTTGGCTTCTTCTTCCCTTCTCTTCGCCCGGTGTCCCTGGCCCCTCGGCTTTTTTTGCCTGCGTCTTCAAAAGTTTCTATCAGTCATACAGTCTTACATGTTTTACAAAAAAGGATCTTAAGGAAATACGAATCAAAAAATACTAAACCAATTGAACAATTTAGGTTTTGGATCTGCGTATTTGGTTAGACTTAGAATTTCGGTTTTTGTTTAAATTTGAAACTCTTTCTTGTAGAGTTTTTTAAAAGATAAGATATTTTTATATTTTCTTTAAAAAAGAACTTATTAAATTATAAAATACTTAATAAAATAATCATTTAAAAAACAACTATTTTTTAAACAGACGTCTACTGCACACGACGACAACGTATTTGTTGGTGTTGGACACTCCCTGATTAGGATTCTTTAAAAAACAAATAGACAGACACTTTGACAGATGCGAAAATTTTTAAAAATACATAATTGCAAAGAAAATTAATTAGTTATTTGCTATTAGAAAACACAAATAATTGCAGGCTTTTGCGTTTTGTTTTGTTAATTAAACAAATACTTTTTCAAAAACACAAGGAAACAGTGCATTGTTTCAGTTTATTATTGGATACCGAAAGTTATTAAACATTTTTAACTATTTTAATCTTTTTACAGATATTCTTTTAAAAGAAAAATAACTATTTTAAATGTGAAACTGAAAAACACTTAAAAAAAATATGCTGATAACGTCCTTTAACGGTCAATCATGTATATGGTTGGCCTTCCTAGCCATTAACACTTGTATGGCTTATCAAAATACTAATTCAAATAATAATATACTACAACAGCAACAATCTAATGTTCCTTAATACAAACTACTCAAACACACTATCCACAACCAGAAAAAGATGAGATCTCCTTTAAAGTGGTGCCGGCAGGAGAACCTAAAGTAGCAGCCCTTAATATACCAGCCGTTAATATTGTTAAACAACAACCACAGAAAGTGCCTTTACCTTATAATAAACACAGCATAGAATTGGTGCCATCTAGCATAATAACACAGGCATTGGCAACGGCTGGGGCAGCAGTCGGCGGGGGTAATACACAATTTTTACAAACGCCAGCTAATGCTTTCTATAGCAATTACAATAGCCAGCAAAATGTTAGGCAATTGCTGCGTAATATTGATGAACGTTTAAGGAATATGAGAAATGTGGAAATGAGAGTGGCCAAAATACAGGTGAGCAACATAAATTATGAAAATATTTTGAATAAAAAAATTAATAATTTTCTTTTTAATTTTAAGGAAATTTTTGATTCCATGCATTTTTCTTCATCGGCTAACTTGGCATTTAATAGAAGTCTTGCCTTAACTAATGACAAACCTATAATGGATTCTGTGGATAATAAAATGCAACAAGATTTGTTATATTTTAGCAAACGTTTGGCTTTAAAGTTGGAAAAAGCTTTACATGTGGTGCAAGAGTTAAGAGATTATTTTCAAACAAATATCACACAAATCATGCAATTTACCAATGAATATGAAGAAGATTTAGAGGATGATGAGGATGAGGAATTGCAAGATAGTGAGGTGGAACCAGAATTTGATATGGAATTAAATGATATAGAAAAACCTTTAAGTTCTCATATAAAACCTTTATATCTCAATACATTTATACAATCTTGTTATGAAAGAGACTCTTCCACTTATAATACAGCCACCGAAAGTTATAATAAAAACACAATACAAATACTTAATTATGATAAGACTGATTTTTTGCAAACCAGACGCAACTATATTGATACTACTTTGCTCAATGAAAATAATGAATTAACTTTGGAGGCCAATGCTTATATAAAGGAAAAAATCAAATCCTTAAAACAATCCTTGCTCAAAAATGATTTAAAAACTCCCTGGAATATGGAGAAATATCAAAATAATAATCCCAAATATATAGGCAATCATATAAAACATATTTACTTCCTTTCACGCAGTGATGATGCTAGTGATTCTTATATGAAATTCTATAATGATTTACATTTTCGTTATCTCTATACCTCAGCCATACAAAATAAATATGTCTTCCTGCTACTGGATGTGGGTTCTGCCATGAGTGGTGAACTTTTGGAATTGGCTAAAACATACATATCAAATATTTTACAATTACTAACACCCAATGATCTGTTATCCTTGGTTTGTGTTTCTGATGAAATAGAAAATATGCTTTTATTGGAGGCTTCTTCCTATGATGCTGCCAATGGTTTGTATGCTACCACCCGTGAACGTAAAGAGGAAATTTTAAATTATATTAATAGCTTGACTTTAAGTCGTGCTTTAACTAATCATTCTTTGGGCTTTGAGTACTCGTTTCGCATGATTTCACGTCTACAAAATGCCAGTTTGATTAGCTCTCAGAATCCCATAGAATTTGTTTATATAACTCGGGGTTTGTTAATAAATTTCTCGGATTCTCGACATGTTTTGAATGTTATGGCCAAGGGTCAAAGGTCATTGCAAAAGCCTATTGTAATAAATGCTTGTGGAGTGGTATTGGGTAAGTAGAAACGCGCAGGAAGTGGATTTATGTGATCGATGTTCGTTTTCTATAGAAAACTTTTTCTTCTATAAAAAAACTTTTCGATCATTTTAGGATCAATGATGATTTTTATAGAAAAATGTTCGATCATTTCACTATCGATTAGTTTTCTATAAATAACTGTACGTTTAGTGATCAATGAGTTTTTATCGATCATTTTAGTGATCGTTATGTTTTCTATAGAAGAGTTTTCTATCATTTTGGTAATCGATGTTTTTTCTATAGAAAACTTTTCGATCATTTAGTGATCGGTTCGTGATCGATTAGTTTTCTTTAAAAACCTTATGATCGTTTTATAAAATTTTGTATTTCTTTTCCAGATGAAAAACGCATTATGTATGAAAAACAATTTCTTACGGAAATTTCTTCACAAAATTATACCAAATATGATATAGATACCAAGGATTGGTATAAACCGGAACATACATTATCGGGCAAACTGTTTATGCTGACAAAAACTCAACAGGATGTAATAATCCAGGCGGCCACTGCCATATTTGCTAAGGATTTTCAAGAGCCTCATATACAGAAGACTTGGCAGGTGCACACACCCATAGTGGAGGCCAATAGTAGAGGTATTAAAGCTTAAAAATCATCCGTCTACAAAACTTTAATATAGTCTGTAATTTAGGTTCTAGTCTGGCCTATAGTCTGAACTGCAGCCCCCTAATAAATAATTTCAATAACAGTGTTTTTCTTTTTCAGATTCTATTGTCTCCCTTACTCACGCCGTATTACCTTTCGGTGTCGTAGGTGTTGACTTATATTTATCCGATCTGATAGAAGATATCATTAGCTATCAACAGCAGCAACAACAATTCTCTATGAATAGTAAAAATGAGTATTCCTATGCTTTCCTAATCGAAGCTGACGGTAATACTTTAGCCCACCCGGCCTTTCCTAGGCCTTTTACACAAAATCAAACCCCTTTTCCGGTAGATATACAATATCTAGAAAATTCCACCGATTTTTCTGAAATCAGACAAAAAATATTAACACAAGAAAATGGCAATCTATCTACGACAATATATTTAACTAAAAATCGTAAACAGGAAAAATACTTGAGGACATATCAATGGCATAATATATTGAGTATTTATATATTGTGTTTGGTCAATACTAGGAAATATGAGGAACCCGCTACAACTAAAGAAATAAAACCTGTGTTATCGCCACTACCAGCCGCATTGCCTTTGACTTTAAAACATTTTTCTTCGAAAAACAATATTCCTATGTATCATCATGCAGAGGACTATGAGGAATATTACACTAGTTTAGATTTACTATATCATCGTTTGGATTTATTACCACCCAGAGACACCACCAATCTATGTCGCTATTTTAGGCAAATAGCCACCCTGGATTCAGCCACATTATTTTTAAGCTCTTTGGCTTTTGAATCGCCTTTTACTTTTCTGCACAACAATCGTATGAGTTCCTCACAATCCCAACTGCATACCGTGGAAAGTATAATGGCTTATTTAAAGGATACCACTGGTTTGCTGGCCAATCCTGGCCTTAGGCCTCAAATCCGTCAAGAAGTAAATGCTCTCTATAATGCCATGCAACATTTAAAGAAAAGACATCAGGATGCTAGAGGCTCTTTAAGAAACTATATAATACGCCGTTACATAGCCTCTGTCAATGGTGTGCTGCAGGTTTTTCCCGGCTGTCTACTCAACAACAACTATGATCCTTCCCAAAGACCCTGGTATCGCAAGGCTATACAACATCCTGGCAAAATAATAACCACAGAACCTTATTTAGATGCTGCTGGTTCCGGTTATATAATAACCATTGCTCATACCATATTTGAGGGTAAATCCAACGCTTTACATTCCATAGAACGTGATCAGCCTGTGGCTATAGTGGCTTTAGATTTACCCTATGCCTATTTCTATAAAATCATTCTAGACTCCACACCTCTCTGTCAAATGCATAATATAAAATGTTTGCTATTTGAAAATGAGGGTTATCTTATAGCCCATCCCTCTATGCTGGAGCCAAAATCTGCCATAAAAAATCAAAGAAGGCCTCATGAACATTTGACGCATAAAGAATCCTATTTGGCTAATGATATATTAAATCATAAAAATCTAGTGCGTAAACTAGCCTGTGCCAACTATCAAAATCGTACTCTACAACGTTATTATATCTTTAACACTTCCCTTAATGAGATCTTAACCAATGTGGTGCATGGTGAAAGAACTAAATATGCCATAGCTTTACTTAAAGGCAGCAATATCTTTGCCGCAGTGCTCAATTCCACTTGTGATGGTGGTGCTTTCTGTCCCTGCAGTACTATAGATCGTCAATGTTTGAATTGTAAGCGTATGGATCAATCAGATTGTGAGTGTCCCTGTGAATGTCCCATGCCTTTAATGCAATCTCTAGAGGAGGAGGAAGATAATGCTAACAAAGAACATTTATCATATTTAAATATTACTTATCAATATGATTTGTGAGCCTCCCTATGAGCCCTATGTGGCTGAGCCACAAATTTTATTACAACAGGAAAATGTTTTACTTGGCTCCTGTGTGAATATAAATTGTGATGTTTTTGGTACTCAGAGGGACTGTTTGGCGGTAATGGGTTGTGAATGGTGTCAACAGGATGTGGATGGTAATGGTTTTGCTGCGGCTTTCTGTAGTGCCCAGTCGGCATGTTTTAATGGTGAGTTTTTTTTTAAACTAAACTAGAACTGAACTAGAACTGAACTTGAACTGAACTAGAACTGAACTAGAACTGAACTAGAAAACTGAAAAACTGAACTAAAACTGAACTAGAACTGAACTAGAACTCAACCAGAACTGGACTAGAATTGAACAACTGACAAATAAATGTATGTATATAAAAATTTTATAACATTTCCTTTAATCTTTTTTCTAGGTGTC